TGCAGACAGTTGCAGAGCAGACGATTGCAGAGCAAATGTCTGCACTGGACAACGGGATCGCTACAGATACAGAGACTTCGGAGCCGGCCAGGAAGAAAGCTGCAAATGTCACGACTACTGCTACCACTAACCGCTCGCATTTTGTGTCGTCGGACGACATTTTGCTGCTGACACAGGTGCTGGTCATCAAGCCGTGGACGTTCCCGTACGTGATGGACGGATGGCAGCAAGTGACGGAGAAATTGCGAGCCGAGGAGTCTTTCCGACTGGATAAAACAGCGGGCGCATGTCAGGCGAGGTTGAATCTGCTGTTGGGCCACTTAAAGGCTGGCAATACGACGGCGTTGAGGAAATCTGGCACAGAGGAGGAGTTCGACAGGAAGTGCGCGATGGTCGCTGAAGTGGCGAAGCAAATGGGAGAGTATGAGAACGCACAGAAAGGGAACAACTTGCCAGTTGTAGTGGAGTCTGTGCCTTCCGCTCGACAAAATCCTGTCGCTGTGAATACTATGCTGCCTGACCTTGCTAAAGAGAGAGAGCGGATGGCTCAACGCCGCTTGGAGCTGATGGAGCGCAAGATGGAGCGTGAGTTGGCTGCGCAGAAGCGTCACTCGGAGGAGCAGGTAGCGCGGCTGGAGAAACTGCATCATGAACAGCAGAAGGTTCAACAAGAGCAACATGCACAACTACTCGCTACTATTCAGCAGCAACAGGCAATGATGTTTGACCTCATCAAGTCATTGGCTCCAGTCCACAATGAAAACCAAGAACAGGCTCAAGCGTAGTAACTCAATGAAGGGGCTTATGTTTGATTCAACTCGTAGCATTTCCCCCGAGAAATTGTCAATAATTCTTGTTAAAATGTACTGTCAGAATAGAAATCTGCTCTCGTTTGTTATCATTTTCTTCACTTTTTAGTTCACCGACCTCGTTCTTCTTACGCGATCAGTGCCTGGGCCACGCTCTTCGCTTTTTCTCCGCTAACTAGCAGCTCCACGAGCTTCAAGCCCATTTCGATCGCGGTTCCAGGGCCTTGGCTGGTCACACACTTGCCATTCACAACGACGCGTTCATCGGGCTTGTAGTCCACACCCTTCATCTTCTCCCCGTAGCTTGGGTATGTCGTGGCCGGACCAGCATCAAGCAGTCCGTGGGGGATAAGCACAACAGCAGGAGCAGCACAGATGCCGCCATAGTATCGACCCTGGTGTTTCTGCTTCTGGAGCATTGTTATCAGCTCGGCACAATCGTGCAGGTGCTGAGCACCCGGTCCCTACGTGGCAAGTAACAACAAGTTGATATGCTAATCTGTATATACCGTGTAAGACAGGATAAGCACTCACCCCTGGACACATGATAAGATCAAAGTTAAGGTCGACGCAGGCCTCGATGGCAATGTCTCCTTGCACTTTTGTGCCTTGTGACATGGTCACGATGTTCTGCAGCTTGCGACCGACACCGGCTAGCGTCACCTTCATTCCACCGCGTGTGAGGACATCTGCCACGGCGATGGCCTCAATCTCCTCCGTCCCATCGGCCTAGCAGCATTGGTCATCAGGATTACAAGACATTATACAAGAACACAAGAGGCGTACAATGGGGATCAACACCGCAGGAGCTTCGCCTTCACTTGTAGACATCGTTGCAACTGGATTCAAGCCTGTAAATTTGACACTGAGACTCGGAAGGCAGCGAAGAATGCGGCGATGGGAGAGTGCTGTCGCCAACACCATTGTAGCAATGGGCAAGAAGATGAATGCCACAGTTGGAGGGACATGTTCTCGCAGGTCCCAGAACTGGGACGTGTTGAAGATTGATAAACCAATGATCAAGTGTGATTCTTCGCTGGTTGATATCCATTCGACGGCTTCACCAGCCATCGAGACAGGAATGTCAGTGTTGCTGCCTAGCGTGCAGCATATCCACCCAATCTAGAATTACGAAAGCTGATTGGCTGTTCATGCTGAAGTTAATAACCTTCTATTCATCATCATTCTTTTCAGCAAGTTTCATTTTCATTGGCTGAAATTCAGCAATGGTGTATAAAACGCTGGAGCCATCACTTTGACTGGCAACCAAGAGATCAGTAAGCGACAATGGCGGCGAACACGGCTGAGAAGCTCGCGAAGGAGAAGGAGGAGGGCGCATCTGAGTACCAGAAGCAGAAGAAGGTCGTGGGCGACCTGCTCTCTAGCGCTGAAAGTGCGTCATCATTGCCGTCAATGACAATATTCCGCTTTAATATGACCTTAACGATTACGCTGCTGCTATAGATGGCGATTTGGAGCAGTTAGAGAAGACGCTCGAGTCTTTGCAGGTGATGGGCGTCACTGACGTCAAGGAGGCGCTTATGGACTTTAAGGACGCGCACAAGCGCACAGCGCTGCACTTTGCAGCGGCTAAAGGACGTCGCAAAGTGATCAGTTTCATTCTGGACCGCGCGCCCGAGTGCGTTGAGTGCGTGGACGAGGAAGGCGCTACACCTTTACTATACGCAGCCAAAGAGAACGAATTCGCGGCTGTTAAACTGCTGCTAGCTTACTTTTCCGACCCCAATACAGCCATGACGAACGGCACGACGGCTTTGCACGAGGCAGCAGCGAATGGTTCTATCCGTACAGTGAAGCTGCTGGTGGAGCACAAGGCACAGCTAGAGGCGACCACTAAGAACGGCACAGCAATGCACTTTGCGGTCAGTGAGAATCGCGAGAAGACGGTGGCGGAGCTGCTGCGTCTTGGCGCCAAGGCTGATGTCAGGAACGCTGGCGGTGTGACTCCACTGATGCTGGCCTGCCTCATGAACAAGCCAGTTGTGGTGAAGGAGCTACTAGAGGGCAGCGCTACACTGTCATTGACTATGGAGGGTAACCTTACAGCCCTGCACATGGCTGCTGAGACGGGCTTTACTGAGGTGGTGCAGGAGTTCTTGAACTGCCGCCCAGAAGACACCAAGGAGGTGGCGAACTTGGCGTCCGACGCTGGAGCAACGCCACTACAATTGGCTGCGGGTATGGGACACCACGAGATTGTGACTCTACTTAAGCCTATTACCAAGGGGTTCGAGGACGCTGACCTGGATAAACTGATGGCTGAGGAGAAGATCAAGTTGGATGCATACTACGAACAGGCTGCGAAGAACAAGACGTCTGCTGCCCCTGCTGCAGTCACTGAGCCTCAGACGGTGGAAGAGAAGCTCGAGGCTGAGAATAAGCGGAAGCTTGCTGAGATCGAGAAAGAAGAGGACATTGCAGTCCCTGAAGCTGTGGAAGCCACTGAGGAGCAGAAGAATGAAGCTACCAAGTTCAAAAACGACGGCAACAAAGCTTATTTGGCCAAGGACTATGCCTTGGCTGTCGATCTTTACTCCAAGGCTATCGCGATCACACCGGCTGATGCTGTGCTGTACAGCAACCGTTGTGCGGCTCATCTTGGCGCGGGCGATGCGAAACAGGCGCTGCATGATGTGCGTGTGTCAAAGAAGCTGCGTCCTGACTGGCCTAAGGCGTTATTCCGCGAGGGTCAGTGTCTGGAGGCACTTGGACTCTACGAAGAGGCTGCCTGTGCCATGTGGTCCGCGATGCAGCTCGCTCCGGATGATAAGCTGCTTAAACGCCGATTCCAGGAGTGCGTTAAGCGCGGTCGCTCCGATCACCAGGCCAAGCTGCAGTCTGCCGCTTAAGATGATAGACGTGTCATGGACTAATATATACACAGCTTGATGCGTTGAAAAGCTGGTAGCTTTTTGAAATGCCTGAGAATTCGACCGCTCTACGAAGATGTCATTGAAGAAATTGACTGCATCTTTCAAGAAAGCTGGAGAGATTATTTTTTTTTCAAAGCGAGAAATCATACATGCAAATACGCAGCAGGAGCTAGAAGTACGACCTCAAAAGAGAGTTTTCAACAATGAATTTAGAGCTTCGTGAATCACGACATTTGTATTCTGGGACCTGTTCCATTTCAACTGTGAACATAATTTCAATTCGATCTCATGGTAATGTGCACTTTTGCGCAGATATTTATGCGGGTGCCTTTGATTTTTAAGAAAGCGATCAACTCCCTTTCACTGAGGTGTTGTAGATCTTTTATTCAAATCGGTTGAAAACTCTAAATTGACATTTAGAATTGCGCAACTGGTCAGCAAATGTAGCGATTGCAACTAATTGGAACAGGATGCTACTGTAAGCTTTCATGTGACGTTATACTGCGCATTTTCGATGGCGTCTTCACCGCGAATGTAATCTTGACTTTCAGACAATTGAAATACTATTATGAGAAGCTGTAAGAGTCAGCAGGAGTGGTAAATTGTGGTTCTGGCCGTGAAGCTCACAGCAGAACAGATAACACATAATGTCCGAACGGCGATTGCGAATTGCTATGCCAGTAAATTCATATTTTCGCATGTATAGCTTACCACAACATTACTTCAGGCGAAATTTATACTTACACTATAAGTTTAATTTACAAATAGATGGCTTTAGAGCCAACGGTAGTTATTCTGACTTGTTTTCTGCTTCTTTTTTTTATTAGTTTAGGTACCAATTTGAGATTTGGTCCAACCACTTACTACAGTAATAATTTTGCGGGAAAAATCCCACGATTGAGCAATTTCATGCGATCCGTATATGATCAATGGAGTGGCTGCACATTTTTGGCGCGTTGTGCATGAAAGGGGTGAAAACCGACTCGCTTGGCAACCAATGTAACCAACGAGAGCCACGTATGAACCAAAGAGCCCACATTCCGTGTACAGTATGGTTGTTCTGTTCACACGGTAATTATAAAACTCACGGCATCTGTCCACATACTCTATGCTCATGGGCTTAGTTTACGTGCTGACAATCTTTACGTACTGTACCAGCACTGCTGGTACGTGAGACTGTCAAATCAAGTACCGGTGCTAGGGACCTCCCGAAAGAGAAGGAAGTCTAAAGCTGCCTACTACCGAGCCAGGCAGCTCATAACCAAATGAATAGCTTCTGCTTATTCAGACTTTGAAAACCCCAAGCTCACGAAGAAACCATATTTGCAACTTTAGCTAGCTTCTACATGTAGCAGGTAAGAAACAATTTGCATTTAACCCGAAGCATCCTTTTTAGGTACGGATTTTAGACAACAAGTACTCACTGCACAGATACTCGCTGCGCACATGTATTATAGAAGAACCAACAAGCAGAGCCTCGTGATAATAATTGTGCTGTCACTGACCAGCCGCTCAATGAAGTATACTACAACTCTAGTACCAGTTTAGAACGTGTACATTACGTTACGATCACCAGAAAAGCTTTGAAGCTTTGCACTCTATATCGAGTGGTTGTAGCCTACAATTTGTAGCTCGGAACTGATATAGTAGCGATCTGCTCCCCACTTTGGAAAAAATATGCGGTGGTGCGGTGTGCTTCTCGTCGTGGTGGCCTCGTTCCTAGTCACAGGCGGCGCTCTCTTGGCGTCCAAATTTCCGACGCGTGAGAGTACCACGAAGCGCTTTTTAAGGGCGGATAACCCGGGCAGTTACTCTTTCAAAGGCATTAATCGCGTAAATGGTGACTTTGAAGGAGATTCAGCAAGCACGGACGATCTGGAAGAAAGAGCAGGCGGAGTAGGGACACTTGAGAAGCTCAAGACTCTCAAAGCATTTAAGTCCATCTCGCGGAGTGCGGCGAAGCCACCAACTCATTTAGTAAAAAAGATTTCGCGGGCATTACCAATAAAATCGAAGCTCCAAGTCTGGTCCAACAATGGGAAATCGGTCTTCTTTGTCAGGAAGGAGCTAGGAATGGATGGACTAGACAGTGCTCGGTTGACGCTGGCAAAGAACTTTAAGTTCTACGACGATTACGTGACTTCTCAACTACCTCTATGGGCTAACAAACAGCTCACTCCGAGAGAAGTTGCCTCTAAATTGAGTTTTCGTGGACTGTCAGGGGCAGTGAGATCCAACCCGAATTTCAAGTACTATGATGAATATTTGGTGCAGCAAGCGCTGGTGTGGGCTAAGAAGGATGCCGACGTGGATAAAATATTGGTACGATTAGGACTTAATTTGGTGCCTGCTGCTGAGCGATCACAGGCTGTAAACAACAAGTACTACGATGAGTTCGTGGCTGGACTACTGAGAACATGGAAGGAGAAAGATGTACCAGTTACCGAAGTTATGACCAAGTTAAAGCTGGACCAATTGACTGGAGAAGCTCTCCTGCCTCACCCGAACTACAAATACTACAAAAACTATGTGAAGAACAACTTGAAAGCATGGGCAACCAAGGGAGACTCTCTGGATGATGTAGCAGTGAGGTTGGGACTAGACAATCTGCAAGGAAAAAGGCTGGAAGCTCACCCGAATTTCGTATTCTTGGAGAAATACTGGACAAAAAGAGGAAAATACCAAGAAAACGGGTGGTTAAAACAAGGCATGACTTCGTACGATATGTGGAAAAAGCTTCAGGTGCACCGAGTTCGTGCCAGTGTTCGCAGACAGTCTGCAACGTACGAGGCCTACGAGAAGTATGTCAATCTGATTGACGATCACATTATCCGCCTGCACAAAAGAGGTTTTCAGGATGACCAATTGCCAAGGCTGATTAGTAAAGACGCCACTGCAGACGAGCTGCGTGAGAAGACGATTATTTGGATCAAAATGAAAAGGCCGGAGTGGTATGTCAAGTTTTCCTTGGGGTTGGATGGCTTGGGAGAGAATGCACTGAAAGAAGCACGCAATTTTCAGTTTTACAAGTACTACATCGATTCAACGAATGCAGTGAAGCACACTATATAATGGCGGGAAAATAATACCGTGAAAAGTCTACATGATGAGGATTAATGGCATCATTACATTTACTGTTAATTGTTGCTGGAATATTACTGGTTACAACATTCTAAACAACGAGGATATTCCTGTATCGCAATTCACGCTTGAGTAGCAGAGCTGATACGGTGATGCAAGATTGATAAAATCGTTTTGATATATGAATATTAATACGAAAAGATCGTCTACACAGTGATTCTTGAAGAAGAATGGCGATAATTGATGATAAAAGTTACGGGTCCGAAATCTGGAGTCAGGATTGCTTCATTGTACGCCTAGGAGTTTTCTCTCTTGACGGGTCGCCATATGGTAAGCAATCACCAATATTTAAGTGCATTCAGCGTGGCTACACCAAGTTTCGATCCGTGACAAAATACCTATCGACGCACTTAATGTGCAGAATCTAAACGAAAAAAAAAAAACACTAAAAGTATCCGTATTTGTTATACCATGATATGAATAGTACAACTACTTTGCTTAAGATGCTGATACACTTCTATACTACATGCGAGATGAAAGAGCGGTGCTAGTTCAATGCCATTGGGCAGCAGGAGTTTCGTGTCCCATTTCGAATATCGAGCCATCCAGGTATGCCCCGGTCCACTTGTGTTTGTCATTAAATAATTAGAACCTCCGCGTTTGTCTTTACTGCCATGCCTTCCAGACAAAACTCGTAAGGTATTTGACATTACTGCTACCTACCTCAATCAGTATTGAGCTCGACATAAGAAAAAAAAACAATTCCGAAAGTTATCATTTGCGGGAGCGGTCCTCTCAAACACAGGGGTCCTGAAAAGGCAACTTCGGATAAATACTTGGTTAAGACGTCAAGCAAATAATCACTCAACTATTATTATCATGAGTAATTTCCTTGCCAGCCAAGTACGGGTCTTTGTTAATGGAAAACGGCGATTTCTCTGTTCTACAGCTCAAGTATAACTGAACACGCTACAGTGCAAAATGTGAAATCTGCCATAAAGTCACTAGACGTCAACAAATTCTTTATAACCATGGCCACTCGTTTTATACGAATTGAGATTTATTACCGAGTACGATACTTAAAAACAGCCAAACAAAGCCGCGCGTTCGTGCAGGGCAGCTCTGGATTTGCCAGGAGGTGCTAGTGGCCATAGCTTAACCATAAAATCATGAAAAATATGGGGAATAAATGAAGAAAAAACGTGTTGCTTAGAATTTTGACCGCACATAAAAATATAAAAATTATAGTACTCTGGATTAAAATCCGGAGTACTGGCTACTTTATAATTTCCGCGAAGAATAAAACGAAAATACACCTAAATCTTCTATTACTGTTAGAAAGCATCAAGATTTAGCTTGATGTTTATGCGTTTAATTCGAATGGTCGTCATCACAAGGATGATCGGTTCTACCACCTTGAGGAATCGCATTTTAGAGCGCAGTCCCATGTTCACGAACTCTCTGGGCTCATCACTCAGTAAGAATTATTCTATGCAAGAGGAAATAGTTCGAGATGATAGTTTCCGATAGGTACAATGGAGTAGATAGTCGATATGATAACGCTCAAGTCCGAAGAATTCCAATTAGGGACGTCCAGTAGTCGGAACCAGAAAGGATAATCGCCATACTGGACCTGGACGTCATCCAGCATGTAGATGACCAGCTCACTGTCTCCCAACTCCCGTGCCAGTTTACACAACTTATCCGGCCTCAACATTATATTTGCATGCCCACGCCTGCGCGACATCTAAGTGAGCTCCAAGTGAGAAGAGCACCCTCGTGCGTGATGTCGTTGTTCGCTGTAAGTCCAGCCCCACGGACAGCACAAACGGCGTCGCTATGGGTGACGAATCTCTGACAGTGTTGGTTTCGGTGTAAACAGGAGCAGCTAGGTGCATCCTACCCCCATGATGGCCGAAAGGAAAGTCCGTCGGAGACTTATCGATACCAAACAAAATCGGGATAAATCGAGTAAAAGTATAATAACTAGAAAAAAATTTCAACAGTTACGTTTCCTACAGCGCAGGAGATAAAATCAGGACAAGTTGTTTTGAAACATCGTTACTGATGATAACATTTTTCGGTTTCATTCCAAGAAGCAACGAGAAAGACACATTGCGCGACTGGGAATTAGCCAGCTGCGGCGAACTCCTCTTCGTCCCTCTATTTTCGTGGTCCTGACGATCCTTCTGCCGACGGCTCAGGAGGGCTGTTCCGGTTATATGGGCTGAATCTCTCACCGCGTCGTTCGGCTTCACGGCTATCGGCGACAGCTGGAGTCCAGCACAGCGTGGCAGCGATGATGGTGATGAGAGCCAAACTCTTTAGTACGTTCATCCTTGGTCGCTTGGTT